TGAATATTGGCCCCCACTCTCTTCTGGCTTGTAGAGTTTCTGCTGAGAGATCTGCTGTAAGTCTGATGGGTAACATGACCTTTCTCTCTGGCTGCCCTTAGTATCCTCTCCTTCGTTTCAACCCTGGTGAATCTAACGATTATGTGCCTTGGGGTTGCTCTTCTTGAGGAATATCTTTGTGGTGTTCTCTCTATTACCTGGGGTTGAATGTTGACCTGCTTTGCTAGTTTAGGAAAAGTTTCCTGAATAATATCCTGAAGGGTATTTTCCAGCTTGGATTCATTCTCTCCGTCGCATTCAGGTACACCTATCAAACGTAAATTTGGTCTTTTCACATAGTCCCACATTTCTTGGAGACTTTGCTCATTCCTTTTTATCCTTTTTTCTCTAATCTTTTCTTCACGTTTTATTTCATTGAGTTGGACTTTGACCTCTGATATCCTTTCTTCTGCTTGAACAATTCGAGTGTTTAAACGTGTGCATACTTCTCGGAGTTCCTGTATTGTATTCTTCAGTTCCATTAATTCACTCATACTCCTCTCTAAGTTATCTATTCTCAATAGGATTTCATCAAACCTTTTTTCAAAGTTCCTAGTTTCTTTATGTTGGGCTACAACGTGTTCTTTTAACTCACCGAAGTTTCTTATTATCCATTCCTTGAAGAGTGATTCTGTCATCAGGATGCACTCGTTCTCCATCAAGCCTTGTTCCATTGTTGATGTGGAACTATGATCATCTTTAGAGGGAGAGGCGTTCTGATTTTGAGTGTTCTCAGCTTTTTTACGCTGGTTTCTTCCCGTCATTGTAAATTTATCCTCCTGCCGTCTTTGAATTTACCAACTTTCAGATTAGGTCTCTTGAGCGGGCGTCCAGGTTGTTAGTTCCCAGGGCCAGAGCAGCAGCGTTAAAACTGATGGTGCTTTTCTGCCCAGGATTCTCCTGTCTGGCTTCCTTCTTGTGTCGGTAGTAGGCGACTCTGCCTTCCCCAGGCTCCAAACCTCGGTCAGAAGGGGAACCGGTCCCATTTACTCTGAGCCGAGTGCTGCCGCACCGACGTGCCATCACAGCCGCTGAGCTGGGCTCTGGTGTCGTGCTGGGGGCCCTTGTGGGTCCTCCGAACCTGTTTACTCTGCTCCGAGAGCTGCCGCGCCGAGGTGCCCGTGGAACCGCTGCACCGGCCACGAGAGTCGCGCTGGCCACCGGTGTGTTTCCTCCACTGGGGGATCTTCTGCTCCGTGAGCGACCAGAATTTGTCTGAAAGTGTGGCGTCCTCTAGTTCTCCGCGCCTTCCCTGAGAGCTGCAATCCCGGGATGTTAGTGATCGGCCATCTTGGATCATTCCCCACCATCTTCCTTCTAACCTCCAAGCTGTTCTTGTTCATTAACTTAATTTATAGTATAGCTTTAAAACAGAGATGATAACAGTTCTTTCCCAGAACAAACTTCCTTCATGTCTGCGGACTAGACTGCCTAAAGCCACAAGAGTGGAAGTTGGGTATTTTACTAAATAATTCAAGATGTAGCTACCTTCATTAAATCAATATTAATGTTTTACTTATTAAAAATTACACAAGCAAAGATTATTCTGTTTGGGGCTGAGTTACAGTTTTGTAGCCTCTTTGCCAAATTTTGACACCTTATAGTATTTGGCAGAGATAAGTATGAAATTGCTCACTCAATAAATCCAAACAAAAATGTATGCTGGCAACTCTTAAGACATTTCTAATATTACTTTACCAATAACTTTTAAAGCTAGCTTAATGTGTTAAAGATTTTATTTAAGTCACATAAACTTGAAAAAGCATTTGACTAGTCTTTCCTTTTTTCTGTTAAAGTATTTAAGCACTTTTATTTTTCTTTGAGCCAATTAATTAGAACTCTTCTATATATTTTCAGTATCAAAACATGGTGTACACAAGACATAAATACACAGATGTATTAGGCATGCCAATAGAAGAACACTTTATAGATTCATAAGACCTCCTTTTCCCTTTCTTTTAACTGGATCTTTGTGCTCTGGGCAGAGCTCACACTGAATCCTGGGTTTTCAAAAAGGAAGAATTATTACGAAGGTAGACCATGTGAGGCTTTTACAGTGCATTTAAAAATTCTTTTTTCCCTGGCCAGGCACGGTGGCTCATGCCTGTAATCCCAGCACTTTGGGAGGCCAAGGCAAGTGGATCACAAGGTCAGGAGTTCGAGACCAGCCTGGCCAACATGATGAAACCCTGTCTCCACTAAAAATACAAAAATTAGCAGGGTGTGGTGGCGCACACCTGTAGTCCCAGCTACTCGGGAGGCTGAGGCAGCAGAATTGCTTGAACCCAGGTGGCAGAGGTTGCAGTGAGCGAAGACCATGCCATTGCACTCCAGCCTAGATGACAGAGTGAGACTCTGTCTCGAAAAACAGAATTTTTTTTCTGAAACGAAGACATTTCTAAGTGTCTAAATTACACTTTTTCTTAAAAACCCAAGAGTAGCTTCTGTTGCAATAGTGATTAATCAAGAAAACAGAATTTGGTCATTTGAGAAGAAAAAAACCTTCACTCAAAAAGACAAGGTCCTAGGAGAGAAATAAAAACAAAAACATGAAGCCCTTTTAAATACAAACATGCACACATACATATACACATCTTGGATGTCAGCTTTTAATTAAGCTGATTCTTATCCACTGAGCTTCTAAAAACTATTTTTCTTTCCTGGTGGCCTCTTAGCAGGAGTGGACCCAATACCTCCCATTTTCTTTTTCTTTTGTTTTTGAGATGGAGTCTTGCTCTGTTGACCAGGCTGGAGTGCAGTGGCACGATCTCAGCTCATTGCACCTTCTGCCTCCTGGGTTCAAGCGATACTCCTGCCTCAGCCTCCTGAGTAGCTGGGACTACAGGTGTGTGCCACCATGCCCTGCTAATTTTTGTATTTTTAGTAGAGATGAGGTTTCACCATGTCAGCCAGGCTGATCTCAAACTCCTGACCTCGTGATCCACGTGCCTTAGGCTCCCAAAATGCTAGGATTATAGGCGTGAGCCACCATGCCCACCAAATACCTCTCCTTTTCAAGTTTACATGCTATCAAAGGGAAAAAGACACACAAATAAGTGGAGACAAATTCTGAACAACACAAGGGGAAGTGCACTCAGGCAAAACAGACTCAAAACCAACTCAAAACCTGATCTCAATGAAAATGCAAAGTGTGGCATCATCCCGGTCTCTCCTGGCTGGCTTGCCAAATTTTGTCCCTGGATAAAACTGAGGGTTGGGGCTGCTATTTCTTGTGGCCCAATAATGAGATGCAGATGAACAGGGGAGAAAGAGAGTTATTTCTATAACCAGTTACAGGGAGAAGGACTGGAAATTATCACCAGACCAACGCCAAATTACAACATTTTCCAGAGCTTATTTACCTTCTAAGTGTAAGTGTCTACATGTAAGTGTGCATTCATCTAAAAATGCAAGTCTATAACTAAGGGCTGAGTCCTGAAGACCTGCCTCTGGAGCCTCAGTAAGTTTACTTAATCTAAATGGGTCCAGGTGCTGGGGTGATTACCCTTGTCTTGTCTCCTGCTAAATCATGGAGGTCTGGGGAGTTTCTTCAGACCCCCAATAAAACCTGTTTAATGATGCTTTGAGGTTCAGGAAAGGCCTAGGCAAAACCCTTGGTGGGCTTTTGCTACATCCCAGCCTTTGTATAAGAGCACTGACTTTTAATAGTTAACTTAACTTCCCAGTCAGTACTGAAACAGTTGTTACGGAGGCCTGTGTTAGTGAGACCTGAACTGCCACACCCCTCACCCTAAATCAGGCTTGAGAAGTAGCAAAAAGAACAGGACCAAGGATCCACAGGTTCAGCAACTGCACCGCTTTTGGTAAACATTTTGTTGTTAGTTAGACAAGCATTAAAAGGATAAAAATACCATCAGGTGTGTGTAAGAAAAACATTTTCAAAAATTAAAAAATGATAAAATTTCAGTAGAAAGCTCAAATACATGTTTTCCTGTAAACGGAGTCCTTCTTGACCACCCGCCTCAATCCCACACTGCTTTCAGAAGCTTTGTTTAAAGAGTTTCTGGCCAGGCGCGGTGGCTCATGCCTGTAATCCCAGCACTTTGGAAGGCCACGGCAGGTGGGTCACTTGAGGTCAGAATTTGAGACCAGCCTGGCCAATATGGTGAAACCCTGTCTCTACTAAAAAATAAAAATACAAAAGTAGCCAGGTGTGGTGGTGCACACCTGTGGTCCCAGCTATACAGGAGGGTGAGGCAGGAGAATTGCTTGAACCTGGGAGGCTGAGGTTGCAGTGAGAAGAGATGACCCACTGCACTCCAGCCTGGGTGACAGAGCAAGACTTCATCTCAAAAAACAATTTTTTTCTGAGTTTCCCTTCAGAGCATTTTTTTAATGCATTGATATTCAGTACCAAAGATATGCACGTTGTGGAGATTTTACATAAAGAAGAAACTGTACCTATTATTTTGCAATTTGCTTTTACTCCCTAACAACCTATTTTAGGGATCATTTCATGTCAGTCCATTGGTTTGAAGGACTGCAGAGGATGGAGGTGCAGATTTGTTCACTTAGTCCTTTACTAATGGACATGTAGGTCATTTTCAGCTTTTCCCCTCAACAAACCATACGCTCTTAACCGAGGCTAACAAAACACCAAACAACCTGCATCCTATTAGCTCCAAAGGAACAAAACTAAGGAAAGTCAGAATAGTTACCTCATACCCTAACACGCATTGCATATAGAGTAATGAGCCCTTAGCAACACCATGAAATCAGAGAGGGCTCTCAAGGTCATTTAGAATCAAACTCATGCCCCGACTTAGTCTCCTGGAGCAACGCCCTGTACCACAGAGGTGCCATCTGGAACACCTCCAGAGATGGGGAGCTCACAACCTGATCAACATACCTCAGTTTATCTTCCAGGGGCTCGGGCTGAAGAGGAAGGGGACAAGAACGGGCTTCACTTGTCTACTTTGTCTCTCCTTCCCCACTCCAAGGCTGCTGCTGGAGTTTGACCTACTGATCTTCAGCTTCGGACAGCTGCCGGTGGCGCTGGTGACCTGGGTGCCCATGTTTCTGTCCACCCTGCTGGTGCCGTACCAGGCGCTGCGGCTGTGGGCCAGGCCGGGGGCTGGGGGCACCTGGGTGCTGGGGGCGGGCCTGGGCTGCGCGCTGCTGGCTGTCCACGCCGTGGTCCTCTGCGCGCTGCCGGTCCACGTGGCTGTGGAGCATCAGCTCCCGCCGGCCTCCCGCTGTGTCCTGGTCTTTGAGCAGGTGAGGGCTGAGCCACGCTGGGGAACCGGAGGTAATGGGTGGGGGGGGGGGCCCTCTCAGCAGAGGGGGAGAGCCCCAAAGAGGGAGCGGGGCCCACGAGAGGGAGGGCGTTGGAGAGGGTACTGGCAGGGGCGGAGCTAGTTACCAGGGGCGGAGTCCGTTAAGAAAGATTTGGGGAACCTGAAAGCTGGAAGGCAAACAATGTGACACCGCCATCATAGGAGGTTTGGCAGGAGGAAGACTCTGCTCGGGCCTCTCATCCCAGCAGCCTTTACTCATCCCAGCATATGTTCGGCTGTACGGCCATTCAACAGAGAAAGAGTATGGGCTCTGACCAGACAGATCTTACACTCTGCCTGCCTCTCAGAGGTAACCCAGAGCACAAAGAAGTTAAGCGATTTGCTTAAAGCCACACAGCAACTTGGCCTCCCTTCCACTCTGCCACAGGTTAGGTTCCTGATGAAAAGCTACTCCTTCCTGAGAGAAGCTGTGCCTGGGACCCTTCGTTCCAGAGGAGGTGAGGCCTTCATCTTGCTCAGTTGTGAACTCAGTCCTCTTGGCTGATTGAATGAAGCCAACAGGTGCAGGATCCTGATAAAAAGCCCTGCCTTCCTAAGCCCGGGTTGCCCACCAGGCACAACACTGGCCTCCAGCTGGCATTCTCAGCTCCTGCCTCTGACAGGCAGCACCTCTGTTACCCAGGACTTCTGGCGCTTTCCTGTTTCCTATTCCAGCCCCAGCCTCTCATCTAGGCTTTGTTGTTTCATTTGTAGAGCACAGGCGGAGTACATTTAGTATCATTGTTAAGGCCCTAGACTTTTTAGAATGACAAGTTGGCACTGGGTCCAAATTACAGTCACCAGCTGCATTAGACCTTAACAAGAGAGTCAGGCTGGGCAGTGGCTCACACCTGTAATCCCAGCACTTTGGGACACCGAGACAGGAGGCTCGTTTAAGCACAGGAGTTCAAGACCAGCCTGAGCAACATAGTGAGATGGGGTCTCACTTCAGAAAACATTTTTAAATTAGCCAGGTGTGGTGGCTCATGCCTGTGGTCCCAGCTGTGTGGAAGGCTGAGGTAGAAAGATTACTCAAGTCCGAGACGTTGAGGCTGCAGTGAGCCATGACTGCGTCACTGCACTCCAGCCTGGGCAATGGAGTGAGATCCCATCTCAAAACGAAACAAAAAGAATGAGAGACGTGCAACTTTTGCTTTCACTTGAACACTTGAAGACCATTTCGAGGTTATTAATTGGCCTAATTTCAATTTTTTTTTTTTTTTGAGACAGAGTCTTGCTCTGTCTCCCAGGCTAGAGTGCTGTGACATGATCTTGGCTCACTGCAACCTCTACCTCTTGGGTTCAAGCGATTCTCCTGCCTCAGCCTCCCAAGTAGCTGGGATTGCAAGGTGTGCATCACCATGCCGGGCTAATTTTTTTGCATGTTTAGTAGAGACGGGGTTTCACCATGTTGGCCAGGCTGGTCTCCAACTCCTGACCTCCAGTGATCCACCCACCTTGGCCTCCCAAAGCGTTGGGATTACAGGCATGAGCCACCATGCTGGGCCAATTTTGTTTTTTTTTTTTAGAGACAGGGTCTTGCTATGTTGCCCAGGCTGGTCTTGAACTTCTAGGCTTAAGCAATCCTCCTGCCTTGGCGTCCCAAAGTGTTGACATTACAGGAGTGAGCCTGGCCCCGAATTCCAATATCGTTATGTCTCAGAGCATAGAAGGCTGAAGGAGAGCAGGAGAGAGGGGAGAATGGCTGGTCAGTGGAGTAGTCAGAACACACAGAATTTATCAGTTAAGTTTGCTCTTGCATTTGGGTGTGTTTGATGATGCCCTAAGACAGTTACAATAGTAACATTAAAAATCACTGATCCTAGATCACCAAACCACATATAAGAAGAAGAAGGAAGTTTGAAATATTTCAAGAATTGCCAAAATGTGACACAGAGACATGAAGCGAGCTCTTGCCATTGGAAAAAGTGGTGATGATAGACTTGTCCCAGGCAGGGTCGCCACGAACTTCCAATTTGTGAAAAATGCAATACCTGGGAAGTGCAGTGAAACAAGATGTGCCTGTATTAAGAGGTCCAGACAGCAGGGGAAGGAGAATGGGTTGTGGAACGTGTGGGTACCAAATGCAGCTCTGGCCACAGCAGGCCCTGCACTGGAAAATAGGGTGCCTGAAATGAAAACAGAAGAGACGGTGTTCAAGAACCAGTTCCGCTCCTGCCCAGTTTAGCTCCCCCAGCCCGAATCCAGGTTCTACGTCCAGCTCCTTGCCTGTCCCCCACCCCTACCCTATCCATTTCTCCATTCATCAATCCCACCACCCTTCCCCAGCAGCCCCCTCACCTCTGCCCTCTGCCCTTCCCCTTACTAATCTACCCCTCTCATCCCTCCCAGGTGAGGGGATCCAGGCCCCCAGTTTCTCCAGCTACCTCTACTTCCTCTTCTGCCCAACTCTCATCTATAGGGAGACTTACCCCAGGTAAGACCCTGCACCCCTTCCCCAAATGCCCAGGCCCATCAGGAACCCTACCCTTCTACCCTCCCCTCCCTGACGTCCTCAGTATTGCCTCAGGCACTGGCCACTTTCTCGGGAAGCATCTCGTAATAAAGATGGGAAATACGTGGCTGGCAGACTACCCTGTCTCCTTGCCCAGGCTGTGATGATGCTAGGGTGACCCACTTTCCTGATTTACCCAGGACTGTCCTGATTTGAGTACTGAAAATTCTACCCATCCTACACACCTTTGTTGACGTCCATGTTTAAAATCCACTTGTCATCTCTGTTATGGAAAGTTCAAAGTATCCTAGACCCCACCACCCTAGATAATCCTCCCAGGCCTGAGCAAAATTCAGGGAACTGTGGAGAGAGGAGTGCAAACTGTCCCCAGTCTGCACCCAGGCTGAGCAGAGAACAACATGAAAAAATGAGCAAGCTATTGTCTCCACTGCCGCTGCAGGACGCCCTACGTCAGGTGGAATTATGTGGCCAAGAACTTTGCCCAGGTGAGGAGATAGGGTAGAAGGGTGGACCTGTGACTCATGGTGGCGGAGAGGGGACATTTCTGGGAGGCCTGGAGAGGCAATAGAAGGGTGGTACCAAGGGAAGAGAAGGCCAGTGCTGCGCCAGAGGTCCAATGCCACCAGCAGCTGCCAGCATCCCTCTCCAATTACGTGTCCCCACACCTCCTCCAGGCCCTGGGCTGTGTGCTCTATGCCTGCTTCATCCTGGGCCGCCTCTGTGTTCCTGTCTTTGCCAACATGAGCCGAGAGCCCTTCAGCACCCGTGCCCTGGTGCTCTCTATTCTGCATGCCACGTTGCCAGGTGAGCCAACTAAGGTGGGGCTGGAGCAGGCTGTGCCCCGGGGAAGGCTCATCAGGGAAGAACTTGTAGTTACCTTCCCTCCATTTCAACACGTTCTCCTTCTGAGTCTCCCCTCATGTCTGTCCCCTCCTATCAGGGCACATTGCCATGGTCTCAGTTCAGACCATCCACTCCAGCTCTGCACCAGCCTCCTAACCCATATCCCTGACACCCAGATCTTTCCTCACCCATCTATCCCTGACACTGCTGCACAGGTGAACTTTCCTACTACAACTAATCATTCCCTACCCACCTTCAAAAACTCTGATGATAAGCCAGTGCTGGCACTTTCAGATCAGATTTGAACCCTTGGTGTGGCGTCCGTCCGAGGCCCCTTTGCATGCAGCCCCAGCCTATCTTCTCATCCTGCCACGCCCCTGAAAGACATGTATTTACGTGCCTCCAGGCCTTTGCTCATACTGGCCCCTCAGCTTGAATGCCCTTTCCCCATTTTCAGCAACGGAATCTAGTTTCTTCTTGGAGGCCCATGGCTAAGATGCCCCCTCCTCTGGGAAGCCTTCCTTTTATAGCCATCAATTACCATGATGGCTAATTGAGAGACTACCCATTTCTCTGCACTCCTAGACACATCAGTGCCACCATACTTAGCTCCTATTACATTTGCCCTGGAAATGTGGTTGGGCATGTCTTTCTGTCTCTGTCTGTGTGTGTCTCACTTCAATCACTCTGTGACCTCCCGATGGCCAGGGACTTTGAGATTTATATTTATCCCCAACATCTGGCACGAAGTAGACACCAAGTAAACGTACATGAGGAAATGGATGAATAAATGAATGTATGAAGACAGGCACAGTGGCTTGATCCTGTAATCCCAACACTTTGGGAGGCCGAAGGAGGAGGACTGCTTGAGGCCAGGAAGTCGAGACTAGACTGGACAATATAGTGAGATCTCATCTCTACAAAAATATTTAAAAGTAAAAATTAGCTGGGAGTGGTGGCTCATGTCTGTAGTTACAGCTACTTGGGAGGTTGAGGTGGGAGGATCGCTTGAGTCCAGGAGTTTGAGGCTGCAGTGAGTGCATCACCCCACTGCACTCTAGCCTGTCTCAAAAAAAAAAAAAGGAATGCATAAATTCGTGAATTACCAATAGATGAATGTTGGGGCCCTGGTTTCTGGGCAGGGGCTCCTCAGAGCCCGGATGAGGGCTGCCTGCAGGTCCAGGTGGGCCAGTCTGACCTGCAGCCCCTTGTCCCCATCCACCAGGCATCTTCATGCTGCTACTCATCTTCTTTGCCTTCCTCCATTGCTGGCTCAACGCCTTTGCCGAGATGCTACGATTTGGAGACAGGATGTTCTACCGGGTGGGGCCTGGATCTAGGCCAGCTGGAAGCTGGAGGCAGGGAGGGCTGGGGAGGGATCTGGGGAAGATGGTGGTCAGGAATGGGTGTCACTTCAGCCACACTGTTCACCTCCCATAATAAGCAGTCCTCTAGATGCGGTTATAATGCCACCCCTCCACCTCCTGGCAAGCCAGAGCTAACTGCTTTTGTGTGCATGGTACTACGGAATCTTCTCCTCCTAAGAGAGGGAGTAGGAGGGAGGACGGGGCCTCCAGGTCCTGAGGAGGGAGCTGAGAGGGTGTCTGCTGTACCTGTTCTGCCAGGAACCAGCCCTTCTGGAACACTGGGGTCGGTCGCAGGCAGAGGGAGCAGTGGGGAGGAGCAGGAACCCAGATGCTGGCTTACCTCCTTTTCACCACTCTGACCCCTTCTCCAGGACTGGTGGAACTCAACGTCCTTCTCCAACTACTACCGCACTTGGAACGTGGTGGTCCACGACTGGCTGTACAGCTACGTGTATCAGGATGGGCTGCGGGTACGGCCCTGCAGACCCCCCTTCAGCTCCCAGTTAATGGAGGCTCTCTGTCCCTCCAGCTACAATGTGGAGTCTACACCACTCACCTTTTCCAGGCCTAAGAGCCCTTTTGATTTCATCTGCCTTCATTTTACCCAACCCATTGGGTAGAAAGTCCTTGCAATCTTAATTTTCTTCCATCTTTATCCTTAATTCCACCCTCCCCACGGGGCGTTGCTCCCCACCTTAGCCTTCTAAGGAACATGGCAATTTCCCAGCTACCAAGGCTGTGTAGGTATGCTTAACCAGCACAGTAACCCTGAGAAGCCAGTATTATTATATCCTCATTTTATTTTTTTTCCTCTCACTTATTTTTTTATTGTGATAAAATATACATGACAGGCTGAGTGCAGTGGCTCACGCCTATAATCCCAGCACCCCGGAAGGACAAGGCAGGAGGACCACCCGAGCCCAGGATTTCAAGACCAGCCTAAGCAACATAGGAAGATCCCGTCTCAAAAAAAAATTTTTTTAATAAGCAGGCAAGGTGGTCTACAGCTGCAGTCCCAGTTACTCAGGGGGCCGAGATGGGCGGGTCGCTCTAGCCCAGCAGGTCAAGGCTGTACCGAACCGTGTATACCGACCTCATTTTAAAATGGCAGCAAAGGTCCAATGGGATAGTAGCATGCTCTTAAATAAGATGGACGTCACCCCTTCTGACCTCAGATCCCATATGCTTTCCAGCACACCACACTCCCCCTGGCTTCCTTAAAGTGGGGGCTCTTTGTGGAGAAGCTCAGGGAGACCCACCCCTCACTCCTTCCCTCACCCTGCCAGCTCCTCGGTGGCCGGGCCCGACGGGCAGCCATGCTGGGTGTGTTCCTGGTCTCCGCAGTGGCCCATGAGTATATCTTCTGCTTCGTCCTGGGGTTCTTCTACCCCGTCATGCTGATACTATTCCTTGTCTTTGGAGGTGAGCTGGCCTCTGTGCCACTGGAGGGGAGCCATCCAGAGGGAGGCCTGGGTCCTGCTCCTGGAGATCCCAGTCTGATGGTGGGAAGACGAGGCTGCTGGGCCTGAGAGGTGGAGTGGGGAGGGACTTGGAAAGCAGGGAGGGAGGCAGCATTGGGAGGAGCCAAGGCGTATCCTGGGGCAAGCGGGAAGAGGCTTCTGGTTGGAGAACATTTGAACAGGGCACTCATGGAGGAAAAAGAGGAGGACACTGGCTCAGTATGAGATTCACGATATTGAAATGCAAACTGAAGAATCCTGGTTTTACATGGGCTACTTGAGACCTCCACGAATTTCTGCACCTGGGTTCAAGATCTTCTCCAGTGGGGCCTTCCTGTTCCATCTCTTCTCAATACCCTGGGATAGGAGGGAAGCCAGAAAGACAAGGCACAGATATCTGGAGCTGGAGTGAAAACCTTTCCTCCTGTACCAGGAATGTTGAACTTCATGATGCACGACCAGTGCACCGGCCCAGCGTGGAACGTGCTGATGTGGACCATGCTGTTTCTGGGCCAGGGAATCCAGGTCAGCCTGTACTGCCAGGAGTGGTATGCACGTCGGCACTGCCCCTTAACCCAGGTAAGAGACCACAATGCTCACCTAGCTCTCCATCCATGAGAACACACAGCCCAACAGCCAGTCCCTCCTTGTTCCCCAATTCACCAGCCACGGTCAGGCACCAGGGCCTGGCTTGGGGGTGATGGACTCTCACGTCTTGGATGTACAGGGTGGGTCACCAGCAATGATCTCATTTATAACTTATTCTTCTCTGGCTCAGACAACCTTCTGGGGGCTGGTGACACCTCGATCTTGGTCCTGCCATATCTAGAAGTCAGGGCACCCTTCTTGCCCAGATGACACCACCAAGTTCTCTGCCTGCAAAGCCTGGGACCAGGACTCCTCTCTGAATTCCCAAACTTGGCTCTAAGTCAAGGCGACCGGCACACAAGACCCCACCAGGGAACTGCAAGGGCTGAGATCTGCAGACCTGTAGGTAGCTGAGCACAGACCTCAGCATATGGGTAATAGGGGCGACTCTTCAGGCCCTATCCCCATGGACTGGGTACAGCAGACCCTCCTACCCCATGACTGTCTTGAGGAGACTTGGGGGACTGTACGGATTTGATGAATGTGAAAGAACTCAGAGGAACTAGGGCCACCAAGGCTTGAAAAGGGTTTGGTTCTTGACTTTGTATATCTTCCAATACAGCAATAAACTTCGTCTGCCTTTTTATCCATTCATTCATTCATCATTTGTTGAAGGCTCACTTGGATTTTTGTAGAGTTGTGTCTGCAGAGGCAAGACTTTGTGGTAGGATGGGTGAGACTCTTGGAGGCCCCCTGTCTTACCTTCTCTATGCCACCCCCATCTCCCAGAAACCTGACCTCAACCCCTCTTCCACCTCTTCTCCAGCTCACACTGAATTTTCTAGCCCCTTTAATCCTTCTGCTCCTGGCAACACCTAGCACATTTTGAGAGAACAAAACGTGCCCTTTCCTTTAGCAGACCCAGGAGAAGAACCAAAAAACCCAGGGTCCTAAGAAAAAGAGATGGGGTATTGCTTTTCTTTTTTTAACATTTCAACAGTATATGTAAGACGTCTTTTTATGTCAATAAATATAGATCTATTTTGTCACTTTTATTTATTTTCATTTTTTAAATTAAATTAAATTAAATAGTGATGGGGTGTTTCTATGTAGACCAGACTGGTCTCAAACTCCTGGTGCCAAGCAATCCTCCCATCTCGGCCTCTCAAAGTGTTGGGATTACAGTTGTCAGCCACTGTACCTGGCCTTGTCATTTTTAATAGTATCACATTGTGTGTGTGTGTGTGTGTGTGTGTGTACTATAATTTAATTACATATATTTCAATTGTTTCCAATATTTTGCTCTTATAAACAACTCAGGGTGCCTTCAATGACAAGAAGGACATCCTAATGTATATATACATCTTTGTACACTTTTCTAAGGGAATTTTCTAAATACAGAATTACTGGGACATTAGATGGGCTTACTTCAAATGTACACATGGCCAAACTTCCCTCTTACATGAATTTGTATTATATGATAATTGCCCATTTCCCCACCTCCCTGCCAATGCTGGGTTTTGTCTAATTTTTAATTTTTGGCAATCGGATAAGCAGAAAATTATATCTATTGTTTTTATTTTTCATTGCATTATCATTACTTTAAAAAGTTAAATATATTTTCCTGTGTGCATTTACCATTTTAATTTAATATTTTATTATTTTTAAAAGGTTTATTTATTTATATCTATCTATTTATTTATCTGTTTAAGATAGGGTCTTGCTCTGTCACCCAGGCTGGAGTACAGTAGTGCAATTTTGACTCACTGCAGCCTCTACCTCCTGGGCTCGAGCAATCCTCCCACCTCAGCCTCCCAAGTAGCTGGGACTACAGGCAGGTGGCCCACACCTGGCTAATTTTATATCTAACTATCTATTTATTTTTGAGACAAAGTCTCACTCTGTTACCCAGTATGGAGTGTAGTAGCATGGTCTCGGCTCACTGTAACCTCTGCCTCCCAGGTTCTCCTGCCTCAGCCCTCCATGTAGCTGGGTGTTCAGGAAACTGCCACCATGCCCAGATAATTTTTGTATTTTTAGTAGAGGTGGGACTTCACCATGTTGGCCAGACTGGTCTCAAATTCCTGCCCTCAAGTGATCGGCTCACCTTGGCCTCCCAAAACGCTGGGATTACAGGCGTCAGCTACTGCTCCCCGCCTTGTCGCATATTTTTTATTTGCTGGTTTGTATCAGGATCCAAATAAACTCTATCCCTTGGAAGTGGTTTCATTTCTTTTCATCTATGGATTCCTATCTCATCTCCTATTTTAACTTTCTTTTTATATACGATAAAACGTAAAGATCTTAACTGTTTAAGTCGATTAGGTTCGTACATACCCATGTAATCATCTCATCAAAACATGACAGAACATTACCACATCCCCAGGAAGTTCTCTCATGCCCTTTTCTAGTCAACTACCCAATCAAAGACAACCACTTTCTAATCTACCCTCATCTATTAGCTTTACCTGTTTTACAACTTTGTATAAATAGAAATCTACAGCATTTACTCCTTTATGAACGCCTCGTTTCACTGTAACATTTTAAAGATCAATCCAAGTCTTGCATATGTCAATTGTTTGTACCTTCTTATTGCTCAGCACTATTCCATTTATGAACATATCACAATCTGTTTTTCACCTTTGATGGGCGTTTGGGCTGTTTCTAGTTTGGAGTTCTTATGAATAAGGCTGCAATAAAGATTCAGGTGAATACTCGAGAAGAATGTGAACTCTGTTGCTGTTGGGCAAAGTGTTCTTAAATATGAATTAGGTCAAGTCGTTTGATAAAATTGTTTAATCTTCTGTCTTTACTGATTTACTGTCTACGTGTTCTATCAGTTACTGAGAGATGATGAAACAATTGTGGATTTCTCGATTCGATTTGATTTCACATATTCTTGAACCTCTGTTTTTAGGTCCATAAACATCTGTTTAGGATTGTTATGTCCTCTTGATGAATTTACCTCTTTATGAAGCAGCCAACTTTTTTTTTTTTTTTTTGAGGTAGGGTCTCACTCTTTCACCCCAGGCTGGAGTACAATGGCATAATCACAGCTCACTGCAAACTCCACCTCCCGGGCTCAAGTGATCCTCCCACCTCAGCCTCCCTGGTAGCTGGGACTACAGGCATACACTACCACACCTAGCTAATTAAAAAAAAATTTTTTTTTTTTTTTTTTTGAGACGGAGTTTCGCTCTTGTTACCCAGGCTGGAGTGCAATGGCGCAATCTCGGCCCACCGCAACCTCCGCCCCCTGGGTTCAGGCAATTCTCCTGCCGCAGCCTCCTGAGTAGCTGGGATTACAGGCACGCGCCACCGTGCCCAGCTAATTTTTTTTTGTACTTTTTAGTAGAGACGGGGTTTCACCATGTTGACCAGGATGGTCTCGATCTGTTGACCTTGTGATCCACCCGCCTCGGCCTCCCAAAGTGCTGGGATTACAGACTTGAGCCACCGCGCCTGGCCTAAAAAAATTTTTTTTTAGAGATGAGGTCTGACTATGTTGCCCAGGTTAGTCTCAAACACCTGTGCTCAGGTGATCCTCCCACCTTGTCCTCCCAAAGTCCTGGGATTACAGGCTTGAACTCAACATCACACCCAGCTTGAAAGAGCCAGCTTTATCCTTGCATGACACTTTGCTTTGAAATCTACTTTGTCTAAAAAAAAATTTTTTTTTTTTTATATGGAGTCTCGCTCTGTCAACCAGGCTGGAGTGCAGTGGCGCAATCTTGGCTCACTGCAACCACCGCCTCCTGAGTTCAAGTGATTCTCCTGCCTCGGCCTCCAGAGTAGCTGGGATTACAGGCATGTGCCACCACACCTGGCTAATTTTTGTATTTTTAGTAGAGACAGGGTTTCACCATGTTGGTCAGATTGGTCTCAAACTCCTGACCTCATGATCTGCCTGCCTCAGCCTCTCAAAATTCTGGGATTATAAGCATGAGCCACCACACCTGACCAGCCATCCATCATTTCATTTTATGTTTAAACTGTTTATGTCTTTATATTTAAAATGGGTTTCTCTCTCTCTCTCTCTCTCTCTCTCTCTCTCTCTCTCTCTCTCTCTCTCTCTCTCTCTCTCTTCTTTCCTTCATGGCAGGCACCTGGAGTCCCAGCTACTCAGGAGGCTGAGGCAGGAGAATCGCTTAAACCTCTTGCAGTGAGCCGAGATTGTGCCACTGCACTCCAGCCTGGGTGAAAGAGCAAGACTCAGTCTCAAAAACACAAAAATAAAAATAAATAAAAGATTCTTGTGTAGTCATCTATTTTTCTCAGTTTTCTCA